ACGGTAGTATGTATTATGTAATCATTCATTCAACCAATCAATCATATTTTACAACCTAGTGTAACATCAGCTTTAGCCCCCACAAAAATTTATTTCCTCCATCTCTCATCCTTTCCTTCAACTTTTCACGTGCAATATAAATTTTATATTTCCTTGGGTATTTCTAGATACCCATATCATGATATATCACGATATAGGTACCCATTTACATCACCTACAATCTAAACCAATAATCACACAACCACATGCCCAGTAACCTTGTAACCATCTACACCATCAAACAAAACCCCCTCACTCAAAAATCCAAAATCCAAAACCGCATCAAAAATGTCCATCACCCGCTCCCTCCCACCCCTCCTAACACCCTACCTCTCACTTCCCCGCAGCAGCTCCTACGAATCATCACTTATCCTTCTAACTAGTGTTTTGGGCGCTGGTACAAATTGGATTTTGTTAAGATATTTAAGTTCTTTACTTTCTGGTACTGAGGGAAATCAGACTGGAAATGGGGATGGAAATGGAAATGGGGACGGGGAGACAAAAGTAGTATTTTTGAGTTTTATGAGGGATATGAATTTTTGGAGAGAGGGGGCTAGGAAGATTGTGAGTTTGATTGTTTTTTGGGGGGTTTGGGGTTTAGTTTTGATTTGAAGGGGGTTTTTTTTTTGGATTGGGCTGTTGAATTTGCGGGTTTGAGGTGTTTGGAGAGGTATTTTGAAGAGGGGGAATACTTAGTTGTATTCCTACTCTCCCTGACTTCTATTCTTAATTGAGAAGGAAATTGCCAGATGAAGGAAATAATACCCAGTCAACAAATACCCAATCGCAACCTTCATTCCGTTCCCATCTTTCCCTGTCCTTTCCCTTTTCCATCTTATCCGACTCCATATTCTCACCCACTAACACCTTTGTCTCATCAGAACCTCGACCTCGACAAAGCTACCCTCCAAAAACGCTTCCTCTTCATCGACGGCCTAACATCCCTTTATCTCCCTCGAACTCAAGCACCAGCATCCGGGATCAGGGCATCATGCTCAAAAACCCCTTACTTCCCACTATCACCCAAACGCTCAATACAGCTATAACAACACTCTCCTCCTCTTTCCCATCTCAACCCCAAAAAAATAGTCCTCATAATCGACAATTCGGATTACATACTCGCACGTTTCGGCCTCCCCAACCATCACTCAAGATCTAAACTCTCTACGTCTAACTCTCCGAGAGAGAGTCCATTCAACAATCCTAACAATATGCATTCGATACACCTGTATGATCACCTTCTTCCTCTTCCTCTTCCTCCTC